AAGTTGAATATGGCTGCGACAGAGAATGGATGGGCGCGATCCGAGCATACATACATGAGGGCAAAATCCCGGCAGAGAAATGGGCAGCTCGCAAACTCAGAGCTCAAGCAGCACGCTACGTTGTGTTAGACGGGGAACTTACTCAAATGGCGATTCTCATGGCCTTCGCTCAATTGCGTTGAAGGGAAGGATGCGCGAAAAATCATGGAAGAAGTTTACAGCGGCTCCTGCGGAAACCACTCGGGCGGACGAGCCTTAGCAATCAAGATTAAGCGTCACAGGTACTACTGGTCGACGATGATCACGGATTGTGAGAAGTACTCTGCTAATGCGAGAAGTGCCAACGACACGCGCCGACGATCCATCAACCCGCTGAGCTGCTATCATCCATCTTGGCGCCGTACCCATTCATGCGCTGGTCGATGGACATCGTGGGTCCTTTGCATCCGTCGAAGCAGAAGCGATTCTTTCTGGTGCTAACAGATTATTTTTCTAAGTGGGTGGAAGCAGATTCGTACGCCAGCATAAAAGACGCTCAAGTTGAACAATTCGTTTGGAATAATATCATATGCCGCCATGGAGTTCCGTATGAGATCGTTACTGACAACGGCTCGCAGTTCATTTCAGCTCGTTTCGAAGGATTCTGCGAGAAGTGGAAGATTCGACTCAGCAAATCCACGCCGCGCTATCCGCAAGGAAACGGTCAAGCCGAAGCAACTAACAAGACAATCCACGACGGTTTGAAGAAACGGTTAGGCGAGAAGAAGGGATGTTGGGCAGACGAACTCGAAGGTGTACTTTGGTCGCACCGAACCACTCCGCGGCGAGCCACTAGGGAGACACCGTTCGCGCTTGTTTACGGGACAGAATGCATAATCCCATCTGAGATACATTTCCCTGGAGTTCTTCGACGGATTTTACCGGAGCAAGAAGGACTTAACCACCTGATGCTTCTTGACGAGCTGGACGTGGTGAACGAACCACGCGACCGTGCACTAATCCGCATCCAAAATTACCAGCAAGCAACGGCTAGGTACTACAACGCCAACGTTCGAGGCAGAAGATTTGGAGTAGGAGACCTGGTCCTCCGGAAAGTTTTCCAGAACACCGCCGAACTAAACGCAGGAAAGTTGGGCGCGAACTGGGAAGGTCCCTACAGAATCACCAACATTGTGCGACCCGGCGCTTACAAAATCGAAACTCTGGATGGAAAAACGATACAGAAGCCCTGGAACATGATGCACTTGAAGAAGTATTACCATTAGAGCCACTCAACGCTCGTCACTCAGAACTACGCACGGCTTGATTCTCGCCAAGGGATACGTAGGCAGTTCGTCTTCGGACGGATTCAAATCAGATACAAAAAGAAAAAAAAAAAAAAACAGCTCGGAATCACTTAGAACTACGCGTGACTTGATCCTCGCAAGAGGTATGTAGGCAGTTCGTCTTCGGACGGATTCAGTTGCCCCTCCCAAGAAAAAAGGGGGAGAGTGGAGTGCGTATACTCTTATACTCCCTCGCATTGTACCAAAATCTCGATGAATGAAACGCATTTTAACCTGTCTCAGCTCAGAATGTTTCCAGTTCACAACATCTCTCTGTTAAGTTTGTATATCATCATTTCACACTTATCGTTCGCTGCTGGCCACAGTGAACGAACTACAACATCCCTTCGCGGATTTTTTACAAGCGCACACTTTACAATTTTGATCGATCATCTTTGTTTCAACTTGTAATTCCTAGAAAGGGAAATTACAAGAAAAACCGAAACAAAAACAAGCATAACCCAACAGCAAAACTCCTCTCGGCAAACGTTGGTCTCTCTACAAAAATACCTAAGTGTGAATTGTTCAAACAATTTTAACATGATGGTTCGCTTACTCTTCCTAAACACCTTCCCTGCGAGAGTTTCATCACAACAAGGTCTCGTTCGCACACAAGAAGAAAGAGTTCAAAATATTTCATAAAACCAAAGCAAAGTCAAAGCGGATAAAGCCGTCCAGGCAATTCGTCAGGAAACCCAAAAGCGAAACAAAGCAAAGTCACAATGGATAAAGCCATCCAGGCACTAAGTACGAAAAAAAAAGCAGTAAAACATAAGTAGATGTGGCGTCTGTCGTCTTCTCGGGAGTCGGCTCGCCGGCTCCATCTCCTACGACGGTAGTCTCACCAGAAACCTGCTCGACCCCCAAAGAAGTATCATCCGACGACTCAGGCGCAGTGATGTTCGAACCATGCGGATCGGCGACCCCAATTTTTCCGGCCGCCTTCTCGACTGACTCGGGATCGAACGCAGGAGGCGGAACGATCGGCGGATCGGGTGTAAGAGGAGGAATCCCGAGCTCGCTCAACAACCTGGAAGCAATCTCGTCGCACTTCACGAGAACTCCCATCTTCTCTGCTCGGATCTTACGAAGCATCTCCACCTCCGCGTCAAAATCTGTTATCTCGCCCTTCTTATGGAGACGGATAAAATCGAGGTTGGCATCAATCTGTGTCACATGAGCCTCAGCTCGCCTCGCATCCTGAAGATCCCTGAGTGCCAGCGTCACCTTGTCAAGCTTCGCTGATAGCTCGCTCCGCACACGCTTGATGTCACGCCCGCAGCTCTCCTTAATGTTTTTCTCCATCCTGGCTTCTCGTCTCTCGAATCGCAACTCGATTTCGACCCTCGCAGTAAGATCTTTCTTAAGCTTCTCGTTCTCTCTCTGCAACCTCTCCTCGCGAACCTCCAACGCTTCCACCGCTTCCTCGTACTCTCGCTTCAGCAGTTCTGCTGCCTCCCCACCATCGGAATCATTCTTGTCCTTAAGTTTCTTCTCCAGCGAGTCCACCTCCCTCATCGACTCCATGATCAGCTCGCGATCGCGGCGAGCCTTAATCTCGTAGTCAGCGGTGAGCCCGTAGATCGACTCGATGAACTACAAAAAACGAAGGCAATAGCTTAAGAGGGAGAAGGAGGAGGAACAAGGCAAAAACCCTAGAAAGTAACAAGGAAGATAAATAAGACAGAATTAGAAACACTACCTTCGTCCCTTGCCTCGACGCCTCGATAAAGGAATTGCGAGCCCTCATGGACTCTAAAGGTGGAAGCTTGATCTTCAAAGACGAGCACCGGGAGAACAAGACAATAGGATCAGACGCAGGCTCCTCGACGTCAGTCGACTCGCAGACACGCTGCTTCATGGTGACCGTCTTCCAGCTCGCCACAACGTCAGACACACGCTTGCTGCTCGCAACAACGTCGGACACACGCTTGCGGCTCGCAACCCGCTCCTCATCACGCCTCAAAGGAGCTGAACCCAACGGTCCAGATGGCGCATGGAGACCTAACACCAAGGGTCGACGCTCGCCGTCCTTGGAACCAGGAGCAAGAGCTTTCTTCTTCGCCTCCGGCCGGTTACCCTTCCGCGCACTGGAACCCGGGGTCTCGGCGACCTGCTTCGCCTTATCTTCACGAGTAAGTCAGAACGAGGAATGCATCTCCGATAAGCTGGATAGCGACGAACTGCAATATAAGCAACCAAAGAAGAGAGAATGATAAGGGGGCTTATGGTTTTAAAAGGGGAAAAGAGGCGGCTCGCGTTTCCCAAGGCGGCAGGGAAAGATGTTTAACAAGAAGGCCTAGGCTCATCAGAAAAGATACACGTCTCTTCATGCTATTGTTCGATGACCTCGACTATTTATTCTTCAGCTCGCCAATCTAGACTTCAAGATCAACGAGCTGGGGGGCTAACTGTCGGGGTCGGAATACTTCCTGTCGAGTTCAACGATAAAGCATGACACGTGGCAAGGAAGGGAGAGCACCTGGAGGTCTATCGAACCTGCACTGCCACCAGCAGGTCGATCGAGCCCGCACAGCCACATGCAGGTCGATCGAACATGCACAGCCACTTGCATGTCGATCGAACATGCACTGCCAGCTGCAGGTCGATCGAGCTCATCACTGCAGTTGCAGCAGAGATCGATCGAGTATGGGCCGAGCTGTAGCTATCCTTGGGCCGAATCGACATCTATCCTTAACAATTTGAGCCCAAGCCCAAAAAGAGACTCACAGTTCGCCCTAGACGATGGTGAGAGCCAAAGGGGCGGCGCCGCAACACAGAAGATAAAATCTTTACGATATCTTTAGAGAATCTCGGAAAGAGTTGGTTCTATACCTTGTATAAATAGAGATCGAACCAAAGGGTTTCGATCATCACTTTTCCATTGCAAAACACTTTACACTTTACATCAATAAAATCACCATCTTTGGATCCTCGTTTGTGTTACTCTTAGAATTTCTAGTTCCTTTCTAAAATCATCTCTTGAATCTATTGTGCGGATTTCGGTTCACACAACAATGTACTCAAAAGTTACAACATTTCCTCTGGCAATCTCTGACGGGTTGTATAGCGGTCGGGGATCGGTTGAGGAGTCGAGGTTTGCAGATAGACCCCCAATGTATGCGGTGTGGTATGGCGGCAGAAACAGTTAATCATACCTTATTTGAATGTCCACCAGCATTACAGGTTTGGGCTTTATCTCCAATTCCAACGGGCCTAATCAGTTTCCAACAGGGAGCTTCTTCACAAATATGGCGCACTTGTTTTGGGACTTGCCAAAGGATGATAGAATGGAGATTTACCCTTGGTTGATCTGGTATATTTGGAAAGCTCGCAATTATAAGGTTATGGGTAATGTGGATTGGCATCCCAACAAGATAATTACAAAAGCGATAGCGGAGGCATTGGCATGGGCAAAGGCCCAAGAAAGACAAGAAGTCGAATGTCCAGTTTTAGATGCACGAGTGGAAAACATTTTCTCAGTTGACTGTTGTCAAGTGGATGGGGCCTGGAAGGAGACAAACTGTACGGCTGGACTTGGCTGGTATAATGTCAATACAGTTACGCACAGCAAGCTTAAGGGTGCATGTAACCTGAGACGAGGAATATCACCACTTCAAACTGAATTGGAGGCATTGATTTGGGCTATGCAATGTATGCTACGACATAACAAATTAATAACGGTATTCGAGAGACGGACTGTTCCGATGTGGTGAAGATGGTGTCTAAACCAGAGGAGTGGCAGGATTTTGCTATTCTACTTGATGAGGTCGACAGATGCAAAATGAGGTTCACATCATTTTCCATCGTCCATATACCCAGGAAGAACAACACGAAGGCAGACAAGTTAGCACTTAGTGCTTGAGTTCTACCTACTGATTGGTACTATGTAAACTCTGTTTCACCAGCTTGGATTCCCGAGTTGTTCTAGATAGAAAGGTTGTTGACAAAAAAAAAATTAAAAAAAAAGTTTCTGTAAAATAAAATAAGTGCCCCAGCCCAAATGCCCAACTAAAATTCATCAGCCCATTAACAGAAAAATACAAATGTTTCAATCCACTAATAATGCATCAGCCCAATCAAAATAATCAAAATTGTAGACCAAAAATTAACTAATCTTTGCGTGGAGTTTAAGAAAGTGACATCCTTTTCCCTTGTGAGATGTTTCTGGTTTCTTGCCCTGTGTTTTTTCTCGGTGAGCTCGTTTAGTTGCTTTACCGTTTGATGTTTTTTCGCAAGTTTTCGGTTTAGAGACATGGTTTATCCAGTGCTCTTATATGTTCATGAAACTCTTGCTCTTTTTTGAGCTTTATATGAATCCCAATTTTCAGTGAAAAAAAATTAACTAATCTAAACAAGAAAAAAACCCTATTTTATTTCTAATTACTGCTGCTGTTCCACGAAGACATTGTTGACGTCTTCAAGCTTTTTTATTTTGAGTAAGATTTTGCCTTTGTTTATCTTTTAGATAGTTTATTACCCTTTATGTTTGCCTTTGTTTATGTTTGTTACTTCTACTTTACTAATAATTTTGTTTTTGTTAGATAGTCATGGAAAGATATTTTAAAAAGCAATGTGTCCAGTCTGAATCTGTCACGACACCTAAAACCAACTTGGAGAATTTGCCTTCAGATCCTGCAGATAGGAAACGAATTTTGGATTACCATCCTAATGAAAGAGATGAGGTACGACGCGAATATCTTATTATTGGTCCTTGCCAACCTCGTGATCATAAATTTCCTCAGGCTCAAGTAGGAAATAAGCTTAGAAGATTTAATTCAGCTTGGTTTGATGGGGAACATCGTCGTTGGTTGGAATATAGTAAGAAGAAAGACAGTTTTTTGTTTGGTTTGCTACTTGTTTAGAGATTGCACTGAAAATAAGGGTGGAAGTGATGAGTTTGTGACAAAAGGCTTTGATACTTGGAAAAATCCAAATAGATTATCAGATCACGTGGAATTGGTGAATAGTTTTCACAATAATGCACTGAAAATGGCTGATAATTTGATGGCACAAGGTCAGTCAATCGTTCATGCTTTTTATAAGCAAGATGACACGGCAAAAAAATAAATACAGAATCAGATTGAATGCTTCAATTGATTGTTGTAGATACTTATTGTGACAAGGATTAGCTTTCTGAGCCCACGACGAAAGTGCAGAATCAGCTAATAGGGGAAATTTTGTAGAGCTTTAGAAATATACAGCAGAGCAAATTGAGCTTGTAAACAAGGTTGTGCTGGAGAATGCTCCAAAAAATAATCAGATGGTGTCTGACAAAATCCAGACAGACATAGTGCATTGCTTTGCTGAAGAAGTTATTGCATCTATTATTCAAGAAGTTAATCATGATGTGTTTGCTTGTTGGTTGATGAATCCGCAGATGTTTCTCATAAAGAGCAAATGGCACTGGTTTTTCGTTTTGTGGATAAAGATGGGATAGTCAGAGAGAGATTTCTTGGTCTTGTTCATGTTCTGGAAACATCTTCTCATACTTTAAAGTGTGCTGTTGATTCATACTTTAAAGGTGAAATTAAGACGGGAAAGGGATTGAATCAGGAACTTTCATTTCAAAGACCTGGTAATACTCGTTGGGGTTCTCACTACAAAACCTTATTAAGGTTGGTTAGTTTATTTTCTTCTATCATTAAAGTGGTTGAGTGTGTTGAAATCGATGGGGCTGATGGTATCAAAAGGCGTCAGGCTAATGGTCTTCTCAAATACTTTCACACATTTGAATTTTTGTTCTACTTACAGTTGATGTTGCTTCTTCTTGGGCCCACAAATAATCTATCAAAGGCTCTGCAACAAAAAAATCAAGACATTTTGAATGCTATGTCTCTAGTGAAATCCATAAAGCAACAATTGCACAAGCTCAGGAATAGTGAATGGGATTCTTTTATTGATAAGGTATCATCTTTTTCTGAGAACCATAAAACTGAGTTGTTCATTATGGAAGAAGAGTTTGTTGATCCAAAGAAGCCAAGAACAAAAAGCAACAAAACAAACTTGTAACATTATCAAGTGGAATGCTTTTACTCAGTATTGGATATGCAAATTGTAGATTTTGATGATCGTTTTGATGAGGTAAACACTGAATTGCTTGGATGCATTGTGTCTTTGAGTCATATTGATTCATTTTGTGAGTTTGATCAGTTAAAACTTTTGAGGCTGTCTGAGTTTTATCCAGAAGATTTTGGTCCTATGGAGCGGATTTCCCTTGAGCATCAACTTGGCATTTACATTGATAATATTCGAGATGATGCAAGATTTGCTAATTTGGAGACTCTTGGAGATCTTGCACGTGTCATGATAGAGACACAGAAACACATCCACTTGTTTATCGACTTTTGAAGCTTGTGTTGACTTTACCTGTAGCCACTGCTACTGTTGATGTTTCTCCGCGATGAAGATTGTGAAGACTACCTTACGCAATCATCGAATGAGTGACCAGTTTTTAACTGATTGTCTAGTTTGTCATATTGAGAAAGATCTTTTTGATAATGTGACAAATGATGTAGTGATTAAGAGGTTCCAAAATATGGAAGATCGTAGAATATTTTTGTAGGAGTTTTTAGTTTTCTTTTATCATTTACAGACTTTTGTAGTTTTCAGTATTATTTTGAGAATGTTTTTTACTTATTTATGTGCCCCATGTTAAATATATTTCTGCGTCTGCCCCCCTGAGTACGTCCTCTATTCAAAACCTCAATCCGCTTGATCCGCGTTTTCCATTCGAAGTCTATGTTACAACTAACAAATACAAGTATTTATAGACAGCCAAAAACATTAAATAAATCAAGTCGGTAACTTGATTGCGGTAAAAGAAAACTTAGATTGTAAGTAAATAATATAATATTGTTAGGAGGATAATTATCCTTTTTAACGGTAACTGTTAGATAATTTAATTAATCAATTATTAAATGACAAGTGTTGTTTGAATATCTAGAACTTGTGAGAATATATTCTATCTCAGAATGTTATTGCATTTTAAATTTCTTATTCTATCATTTGTGTTGTTAAATTCTTGTGTTTAATCTGTTCTTTGAAAATCTATCTAGTTTACTTTCTCAATAGGATCTCCTTTGTTTATCTTTTGATCTACTTAGGGGAAAGCATACTAAGTGTATTGGTTAGTTTTATAAGAACTCTATTGAGGATCACTAGAGGAAAACAGAGAATCAGAGAGTGTGTGAGGAAATCAGAGGGTAAAAGCCAATTGAGTGAAACACTTTTTGAGTTAAAGACTTGAGTGATTGTGAGATCCTTTACTACTAACGTTTATTTGCAGGTACAATAACAACACTAAAGAGGTCCCACTATCCGGAGTTCCAAATCTTCAAGTTGAAGCCATGATGGGAGAGATGAGACGGTTGATGAGGATTTAAATGGATGCAGTCCATGAGAGATTGAATCGATATAATGCAAAGACAGAACAAAAGAAGCCACAAAACTTTCCTAATATGCCTCAAATCAACCATGATGAAAAAGGGAATTAATGTAGCAGAGGTTGATTACTACAGCGATCATTCATCAATTAAGAGGGAATTGAAGGAGACCATGACGTGCTAGAGAAGGCAGAGATCAAACTTATGACAACTTGGGTGGTATTAGGTTGAAGATTCCATCATTTCAATAGAAGAATGACCGTGATGCATATCTAGAGAGGAAGAAAAAGATTGAGCTTGTTTTCGATTGCTAAATCTATTATGTGATGAAGAATGTAAGTGTTGCAGCCACTAAATTTTGTGATTATGCTATTAATTGGTGGGATCTTGGTAACAAGCAGGAGAAGGAATGGCGAGTATCCCGTTGCGACATGGGCTGAGATGAAGGTGGTACTGAGGAGACGTTTTGTGCCTAACCATTATCTCCGAGAGCTACACCAAAAGTTTTCGAAAGCTGAGTCAAGGCAATCGTAATGTGGATGATTAGTTGCAGGATCACAGTGATTAATTCCAACATTAGTTTTCGTAGGCAAATTCAAGTTTAAGTATGTCTTTACTATCATTTATTCCCTCCGTTTCAAATTAATTGTCGTTTTGGGAAAATGTATCTGCAATTATTTGGATGTATCTACAATACAAAATACGTCCAGATTCGTCCAAATATTTGAAGATACATTTTGCCAAAACGACAACTAATTTGAAACGGAGGGAATAAATGATAGTAAAGACATACTTAAACTTGAATTTGCCTACGAAAATTGAATGAATGAAGAATTAGTACTCAATACAGATTCTGTCCAAATATTCAAAGCAGATTACATGTCATGGACAAAATATTTCTTTACTAATTTGATCATGTTTTTTAGCGGCTTTGGGTTCCATTCATCTGGCTTTCCTTCTTCATGTTTTATTAATTTTTAGAAACTTTAGCCGTCTTTGGTATTGCCTCAAGCTTTGTTGATGATTCTTAAACTCCTTCTTCTTTTCTTATATCATCATGTTGTCTTTTTGTTGCTCTAGTTACATGATCTAGTTACATGATCTAGTTACATGAGAGCATACTTTACCCCTTTAACGTATTCTCCTCTTCCGCCATGGCTAGCTTCTTCTCCTATTGGAGATCTAAACAAACAATCATCTCAAGAAACTCTTCTTCATCTTGGACTTGATCAATCATGCCATCTCCAAGACATTATATGGAGACAATCTTCAAACCATATTTCCAAAACAGGTCAAGTAGTCAACACTAACAGAGTACTGAATTAGCCGCAGAACATTAGACTCTTATTAGAGAACAAGAGACGATGAAGAAGATGATAAAGTTTACATAACAAGATAATAAGATAATAAACTTATATAGTCTCGTACATTTCCAGTTTACATAACAAGATAATAAACCGGTTTAACCCAATTACATTGTATACTTTAATAACTCTCAAGTGATAAACTCCTTCTTCTCAGCGATAGAGCTATCGACCTCTATCACAACTCCGGCTATGAAAATCTCAGAATAGCCAGTCATCTCTCTCGGAAGCTAATTCCTCCTTTGTAAATCCAGGAGTGTGTCTAACTTGAATCATGAAAATAAAAGCGTAGAGTATTAAACTGGATGAAGTGTAAATGAATCTAACTAAAGAAGAAAGATTAATCAAACACCCATAAAAACGACGTAGAGAAATAAGAAGCAGTAGAATCAAAAATCAAAAAAATAAATAAAGAGTGATAAATATGAAAAACAGCAAATGAATCGATGGAGAAGAAAAATTGCATAAAGTAGAAACTGTAGAGATAATGAAATAACTTAGTTATATAGGGTTGTGGGTGAGAAAAATTAGGAATTTTAAAAATAAAAGATTTGTGATTTTAGTTTTAGTGATATTTAATTTAATTTTTTTGTTTTTAATTTTGATCATGTGGCTTATTTAGTTTTTCTATGAAATTGTATTTTAGTTTTGAATGATTTTCCATATTTCATGTTTTTATTGCTCAAGTAATTAACTTGTGCTTAAACCCGTTTTGGCTTCTTCAGATATGAGAATTTGAATATGATTTTGCACATGTTAAGGGCATCTCCAATGTATTATCCCATATATAACTCCAAAATAAGAAATCTCAAAATATGATTGAGTTTTGCTCCAATGTATTACCTTATTTTTTCTTCAAAAAGAATATTCCAAGTATATTCTTTTTGGAAAAAAATATATTAATTATTAAATTTACACTGTATATTTATATATATTACAAATTGCCTCATAAATTTTGTTTCTTCAAAACTTTTACAATTTATTATAATTATTCAAATTAATTATGAAAATATTAAAAATACATTACAAGACTAAAAATAACAACACAAAGTGGATTTTATTTTTAATTAGAACCATTTGAATATTTTTCCCATAAATGATAACTAAACCATTTCGAAGAGAGAAATGAGTATATTTATCTTTGATCTCTGTAAATCGAGCAAGAAAATTCGGGAACCAAATATCATCGTTTGCGGCTATTTCGACTTCTGGAAGTGGAGCTTCTCTTTCAATTTCAATTAGTGCACTGAGATCACACTCATCATCGATTATCATGTTATGTAAAATTATACAGGTAGTCATTATGTTATGTAAGTCTTCCTATTAAATTAATAAATCAGTAGTAGGTTTTTTATAATAAATTTCTTTTTGATGTTATTTCTAATAAAAATATTTTCCTTTCTTTTTAGATTCATTATTAGCTTAAATAATTAAATTTCTTATTAATTATGTGTTATTTTTATTTTAGAGTAAAACTAAACATCAAAATAATTAATTAAATATCTTAAACTGAAAACTCTTATATAAATTAAAAACTTACTCCAAAATGGAAATGAAAATGGGATCATCCTCAATTTGGGAAAAAATATGACATTTCGCCATTTTGAGATTGAAAATGGGTTTGGATTGAAGCAAAATTGACTCCAAAGGTAAAATATAGGGCCGGGTTGGAGATGCTCTAAGAGTATACAGTAAAACCTCTATAAATTAATACTCGATAAAATAATAATTATTATAAAATAATAAATTTCTCTAGTCCTAACTCGGACCAATGTAAAAAATAGCAAAATGCGATAAGATGATAAGATAATAATATTTTTCAAACTCCTAAGTAAAAATATAGTCCCAACAATAAGCTAAAATAATAATTATAAAATTTAGGCTTATATGTCTAAGACAATTTAGTAAAATATGACTCCAATGTAGTTTGTCTTTTCTGAAAGTTGGATTTTCAGCTCATCTTGAATTTTTCTTATTACATTAAAGAAAAATGGAAAATTACGTAATAGAAAATTTGAAAATAACAAAGGAAATTTTTAATAAAAAACTGAAAATATATATTTCTATAAAGTTTCTGATAGAATATTTATATAAAATAATAATTATTACTTTATGGATAAAATAATAACTAAATAAGATAATAAATTTTCAAAGTCCTAACATTATTATTTTACTGTAGCTACGTAACGAAACCGCATCCAAATATTAAGGTATGAATTTGCCGATTTCACGAACGTGTATATTTTTTCCCTAGAGATAGTAAATAGAATTTTTATTTTTAAAAAGTATATTTGTGACAAAAAGAAAAGTTAAAAAGATACTTTTTAATGATTTGGTAGAAACTGTTGAATACTGAATTACTGATCTTATCTATCTGAATATTATTACTTCGTTTAGCAATTAGATTTACAGGTCCTTTTTGTTTTTTGTATTGGACAGAAATAGAAAAATGCAAAAAGTACTCTCACAAAAGATTTGGGAAATAAAATTAAAACAAATCCGACGGCCACAGGAGCATCTATCAGATCCAACGGTGTACACTATCATAGACACTCCCTTTAGATCTGACACTATTCACTAAATCCCGCGAGAAGCATCGTCCACTTACACTCTTCCACGTGTAAAATCGTGCGCTTATTGATTCAAAATTCGTGTTTTTATCCAGTGAAATGCGGCCACGTCACTTCCATGACAGGTAGATCTGACGTGTATGTCATTCATTGGTTAACGTGTATGGCATTTTGCAACGTCAGCAAGCCACGAGAGCGGCTACTTCACTTGCAGCTTCTTCCGGTTTATATATTCTCCGCATTTCCATAGCATCTTCTGATATTCGGTGAAGCTCCGATCTGAGTTTTAAGCAATGGCGAAACTAAACCCTAACTTCATCTCTCTGATTCTTCTCGGCCTCTTCGCGATCGCATCTGCAAAAGTTATCTTCGAGGAAAAATTCGACGGTAAGCTACATTTCTCACTCTAATCTCTATCTAGATTTCATGATTCCGTTTCCGATCATTGTCTCTATTCGTATGCATTTAGTTGTTGATCCATAGTCATCACTGATACTCTCGTTTTCTTAATCGATAGAAGTTTTTCGAAATAGTTGGTGAGGTTTGTTGTTAGATGATAGATCTGTGAATTTCTGGATTCTGGTTTCTGCTCTAGATTCTTCGAATTTGGAAATTATGATCGGTGATCGATGTACCGTCGTCAGTTTGTGATGATTGTCTCGGAGATCACCGGATTAGGGATTCCGATGATTTTTAACTGTTGAAATTGATAGTATGCGATTGCTTTACGTACTCGAAACTAGTATGATTGCTTATCTATTGCCTACAATGTGCTTGTTATCGACTGGAGAGGTAGAGAATAGATAAGCTACATGAAGCTGATTTGTGTGCTTTTGCTATCTCTGTTTCTGTAGATGGATGGGAGAGTAGATGGGTGAAATCTGACTGGAAGAAAGATGAGAACACAGCTGGAGAATGGAGCCACACATCTGGAAATTGGTCCGGTGACGCTAACGACAAAGGTATATGAATACTTCAGTACCAGTGAATCTGATGATGGTTCTTTGAATCCATATACTCATGTTATATCACTCTGTTTTCAGGTATCCAAACGAGCGAGGACTACAGATTCTACGCCATATCAGCTGAATTCCCAGAATTCAGCAACAAGGACAAGACGCTAGTTTTCCAATTCTCAGTCAAGCATGAGCAGAAGCTTGACTGTGGTGGTGGATACATGAAGCTTTTAAGCGATGATGTTGACCAGAAGAAATTCGGAGGAGACACTCCTTACAGGTACATTTTGTTGTCACCATCTCTCTATATCAACATCAGAGATTATGAAAAATGAAAGCTTATCTTCTCTGTTTTTTACATGCAGCATCATGTTTGGCCCAGATATTTGTGGCTACACCACCAAGAAAGTACATGCTATTCTTACCTACAATGGAACAAACCATTTGATCAAGAAGGAAGTCCCGTGTGAGACTGATCAGCTCACTCATGTGTACACATTCGTCCTCCGTCCAGATGCTACTTACAGTATTCTTATCGATAATGTCGAGAAGCAAACTGGTAGCCTCTACTCTGACTGGGATCTTCTCCCAGCGAAGAAGATTAAGGATCCAAGTGCCAAGAAGGTACAAACTAGTATTAAGCAATTCCATCTCTTATATGTTTGTGATAATCAGTTCTTATATTTATGAGTTTTGGTTTAAACAGCCTGAGGACTGGGAAGACAACGAGTACATTCCTGATCCGGAAGACAAAAAGCCAGCAGGATACGATGACATCCCAAAGGAGATCCCAGACACTGATGCGAAAAAGGTTTGTACATTTTTTTTCTTGATACTGATACAAAACCAATCTTAAAAAGTTTTCTGGTTTTGATTTGGATCCTTTTTGTGTTTTTTAGCCTGAGGATTGGGATGAAGAAGAAGATGGTGAGTGGACTGTTCCTACCATTCCCAACCCTGACTACAACGGTGAATGGAAGCCAAAGGTTTGTTTTTGGCTCTATAACAGAGTAATTTAAAATTTGTTAAAACTATGTACGGTTCTTCTCACTTGTTGTCATATTTGTTCTGTAGAAAATCAAGAACCCTAGCTACAAGGGAAAATGGAAGGCTCCATTGATCGACAACCCTGGTAATATTTCTCTCTGCAACCATTTCTTATTCATAATGTCCATAGTTTTCATGTAACAACATGTACTATGATTGTTTTATATAATACACTCGCATCAGTTTGGCACATTTGATCATCCATAATTTATATTCAACTGAAGATACGTTTTGAGGTTATGTTAGTCATCAGTTTAATCTGAGTATATCAATTTGATGCAGACTTCAAGGACGACCCAGAACTCTATGTCTTCCCCAAATTGAAGTATGTTGGAGTTGAATTGTGGCAGGTAAATTATCATATCATGTCACAGAAACTTTTCAGTTGTCTTTCATAATCATATATGCTAAACAAACATCTTAATTTCCATAGGTGAAATCTGGATCATTGTTCGACAATGTCTTGATCTGCGACGACCCAGAGTACGCTAAGCAATTAGCCGAGGAAACCTGGGGAAAGCACAAGGATGTATGTTAAATCATTTTTGCTCTTTTTGTAAGAAACTTTGGTTAATGATCATTACTAATCCATTCTAGTTGTTTGCTACAGGCTGAGAAAGCAGCATTCGACGAAGCCGAGAAGAAGAAAGAAGAAGAGGTAAAAATTAAAAACTTCCATAAATTCCAAATATATGATTCATATAACATGAGAGTAATCAAATAAACGAAACTTGTATGTTTCTTTATTTTATTAGGAGTCAAAGGACGCTCCTGGTGCTGAAACCGACGTAAGAATCTCTCTTGATATTAACATGAACCTCTCTCTCTCTCTCTCTGTTTGTGACAATGTTCTGATGTGTGAATTTGTTTATTACTCTACAGGCTGAGGATGAAGCAGAGGATGATGACCATGAAGGAGATGACTCCGACACCGATTCAAAGTCTGAGGAAACTAAAGAAGCTTCAGAGAACAATGAAGCCGCCGCTCATGTACGTATCCAAAACCCAAATAAATATATAACGAAGTGTGTTGTTATTTTGTTAATAGCTGCGGCTGTATGACTAATTAACTTTGATTTTTTGTTTTTTTACTACAGGACGAGCTTTAAGCGAAGAAGGTGGAGATTATAAAGGATCTAAAGAGTTTTTTCAGAGTCTTTTTAATTTGTTTTACCTTTTCGGGTTTAAGGAATTATTGTAGCTCTAGTTTGTTGGGGATGTTAGAACTTTTTAGCTTACCAAAACAAAACAAAAAAAATGGTGAAATGAGTGTTGCAGCTTGTCTTTAGACTTGATAAATTCCTGACTTTCTGATTCTCTCTACTCTCTCGCCCGCTCAATTCTTTCCTACGGATCAAAAAAAAATTGGTTTCCGGTTCAATCTTGGAAAAGGAAAAGAATCTGCAATCGAACTAAAATGAGCTGAAATAGTTAAACCGTACCATATCGGATAAACCAAGTAAACTAAATTTACGAAGCATAGGAACACCGTCCTTTCAGCTGCAACAATTCCTAAAAGAGAGAAACAATAAAACGATCTAAAGACATAGAACCAAAGGACCCTAAATAGAGAAGCCTTCGAAGGGAAAGATAAGTAATGAAATATGATATTATGATGAGACTGAGTATCATAATGTAGTACATGAGTTAGAAATCGGGGGAACATAAAAATGAAAAACTGAATGAGACTTTGAGTAGCATGTCTGCTACTTTGTTGCTCTCTCGTGACATCAATACAACTTGAACCTCCTCAAACTGCTCTTTAGTAAACCAAAGTTGAGAGAATTGTTGTTAACAAGCTCCACCAATTGTTGACAATCTCCTTCAAATATGATCTTATTAATTTTTTTGTCCTTGACCCCAACAACTTTCCATCGCCATTATCAAAGCTTGACACTCTCCTTCTAGTGCATTTTGTGGCCTTTTATCCCCAACAATCCATCCTACTCAAATTTCTTTCCATTAATATGGGAACCATTGTAGTTACATTTCAGCCAACCTTCAGGTGGTATTCTCAACCCAAAATCAATTTTGTTGTTAACATCTTAAAAAGGTCAACTTTTGTTCACTATATTATTTTGGGTGGTAACCTACTCATCTTATATATAATAGGAGAGTTGCTCTCTCCTCCTAGACTATCCACATCAGCACAAAAACATCAAACTGTATTTAAAATATTTATTAAATACATGATATATGACTATTCAAATTTCTTTTCATTTATTCAAAGTTTAAATATAATTAAAACTAAGAAAAATACACAAATAAATAAATTAATTAATATAAAGTATATGATAACTTGATGTTAAAAGATCCAAAAGTTGGAATATAAAGAAATATTTTACTTCAAATAATATATATTTACCTTTTTATTCAAAAGATTTATCTTATTTAAAAATGTTATAAAGTGTTAACAAGTTAAAAAAGTTGAATATAAATTAATTAAGATAATAGAAAGCTAATGATAAATTAGAATTATAGTTTTTTTAAAATAAATAGAAGTCGAGTTTTTATATGTAAATTTAATCGCACTGAAAAAAATGAAATTTTTAGGATTGTAATATGTTTGTATTAAAAATATAATTTATATTTACAAAACTAACATAAAAGAAAATAATCAATGGTCATGAGGCTCAAATGCTACCAGTGGCGAGCCAGCACGTCCCGACGTGGGTCAGTTGACCCATGTCAAATTGTATTAAAAAAAAAAATTACATGTGATTTTACATAGAATATTTGATGAAATGTTATAAAATATGTTTATTGACCCATGTTAAAATACGATTGATATTAGTTTGACCCATGTAAAATTTGAGGCTAACTCCGCCACTAGATGCTACCACAACAAAGTAGATATATAAGAAAATATACATCTTATTTCGGGTGCAAATGCGATTTTACATTATGTTTACAAATTTTAACATTGAGTCAAATGCATATGCATGTTTATAGTCTAATAGAAGTAAACAAACATAATATTTATAACATTTTAAAATTTAGAAATACAAAACTCGAAATAAAGTGGGATGTTGACATCATAATAGAAGTAAATAAAAAATAAATTGTTCATATTTTTTAGTGTTAGTGATTGGTTACAAAACAGAAAAACTATCGCAAACAACCCCGCGCTTGCGCGGGGCTTCAAACCTAGTATTATATAATTTTTTTTTTGTCATCCACAATTTACATATGCAAATAATCATATTTGGGCAGTTCTCATATATAACACTAAAACGAGTTTATTTGTTATTGAATTGATATCATAATTTCATAATAACCTTAACACAAACCATTAATTAGAACAACAAATCCCAACAAATGTATCGCTACCTTATTATGAGAATTCTATTGAAAACTTGATATAAGTTTTATTGGAAACAGAAACTATTATAAGCTAGCCTGTGCATAAAAGGCACATACAACGCGTAGCGTCTTTTCCTTGGGCATTATACCCATGGCACATGCCATTTATTGCATTCATCTTTTGCTTACACAATTGTTCACAATCGGCATCAACACATTTCCCAGGCTTTTTAGGTATGGGCACCGAACATGGGCCTTTCCTTTCTTGCTGATTCGCTTCCACCACTCCTATTATTTATATAAACATATAAAAAAAATTAATGAAAATGAAAAACACATTTGTATTTTACCAATTTCATGGAAATAGAGTTCTCAAATAACAAATATTAAAGAAAAAAAATCATTGATTGATTTTTAAAATAAAAAATAATAAACATAGTAACTAAAACAAGACTGTAGATGTAGTTTTAAAATATCATATAAATCTACAGGAGACGGAAAAAAAATATTGACAAAAAAGAATTGAAATATGCTGAATTATTTTATATCACAATATTTCTTCATCAAATATTACGACAATGTATATGTAAAAATAAAGAATTAACCAAAGTAGATTAGAAATTTTAAAAGTAAATTTGGTCATTGGTTTGTTGGGTCTAGTATGAATTTAATATTTAAATAATTAAACTTGATATTTTTATTTGATAAAATTTAAACATGATATTATGAAATCCTAAAATGAAAAATACTTATGACCCCAAATTTTATATGACATAGTGGAATTGATATGATAAAGAAGAATACAGTATTCAAATTTATTGCTTTTAAAATTATTATATATACCACATTAAGTTAATTTAAAATGAAATTACAAACCTTGCAAAAGAAGTATGAAGATACTTAGAACTGTAATTAAACGAGAATATCAAGAATTTCTTCATCCTAGATGAAATAGATGAATTTTCTAGTGTATTAGAAATATATAAAGAAGGAAAGAAGAAAGTGTGCCTATTTATAAGAAGTTGAATGCATAGTAAATTCTAACATATCTATTTTAAGCTACTTACCTCCTTAAATTTCGTTGTATATAGGTATGTGATTTTGCACAATTTTAGGGTTTTTTGTCATATGATAAGTTAAAGCTTTAGACTCGTTCTTCTTTTAAATTAGGTTTCTCAATTCAAATTCAAATTATGAGAATTCATTTTTTTTGTTAAAGCAAATTATTATGAGAATTATGAGAATTCATAAAAAAAATACTAAATTAAGTAAGTAAATTTGTGTAGAATTATACTGTTGGGAAAGTGATTTTTTATTTCCCAATAGTAGGACAACACATGTATATATATGCCACATCATCAATCGGCGAACGAAGAAGAAGTTCGAACACCATCCATGTTACTAAATCTACAATCAATTTGTTTATTATAAATTTCTAGATAATCCAATGCTAAAATAAAAATGGAGCATAATCTTTTTTAGCCTCAAGGTGTATAAATTCATTGATGATATAAAAAATTGAAATTGGAAGAGGAATGTATGTACCAAATTGGGTTGGTAATGGTGCAAGTGACCAAATTTATCTATGCATTAGAAGAGGCAATACTACTTGTTTCTTGTTCTTCTCCAGCTTTTGTATATAATCCAGTGTTTTGTAAACGGGACGGTGGTTTAACTGGGTTCAATCACGAACAGGCGGTTGGGTTTAAATCACGAACAGAACTAAATTTATCAAACCCAAGAGCTTTTAAACCGGATTAAAACTGCCAAAAACCTGTGAACCAAACTTTACGTGTTAGAGCTGTACGTGTTAGAGCTGTACGTGTTAGTTTGGAGTTTTATATGGTTGCTAAACAATTACAAGAATCGATTTCTTCCATAGTCCAGAAAACCTCGTTAGTCCTAAACTCTTAATTACCATTTCTACCTTATTTTGGAGACTAGAGATAGTTGCTAACATATGTCCAATAATAGAAAATAAAAAAAGATAGTTGATAACATGTGTTTTTTATGGGTGTGTATTTATTATATCACAATACGAGATCAATACGAGGTCTGTCTCAACTTTATGCTTAGATAAAGATAGTTACATGCATAATGCATCTATCTATGGATTCTAAAAATAGCAATATTTTTATTTTAGGAATTAGCAAGTTAATGAAGATAATGACTATACGTCCCAACTGCAACAATTTACAGTTGGATAAAAAAGAGAGCATGCATTAGAGAATAAGTCAGTGAACTCTAATTAATCTCTCCCCCTCTATCCATGTTACTATAAATTACAACGAGACTCATTCACAACCTTACACAAACCTTCATAACACACTTTGTGCTAAAATAAGAAAAACACTCTATAACTTTACAAACAAAATGTCAGTGCCATCGTCGGAGGACGAGAATCCCCGGAAAACGGTGGAGGACAAGGCTGAGATGGGGAGGAGAAAAAGGGCAATTTGGGAAAGAAAGTGGAAGAGATTGGACATTGTGAAAGCTTCTGCTTCTCTCTTTGTGCATTTCCTCTGTCTCTTAGCTCCTTTCCATTTCACTTGGCCAGCTTTACGGGTTGCACTCGTTGTCTATACGGTAGGTGGTCTCGGTATCACCGTCTCTTACCACCGTAACTTGGCTCACCGGAGCTTCAAAGTCCCTAAATGGCTCGAGTATCTATTTGCTTATTGCGGCCTTCTTGCCATTCAGGTTCGTTCTCTTTCATGTTTTTTTTTTTATCACATACTTTAGTTACTATTCTTTTGTTTTTGTCATGCATGCATTACGCTAGGTTTGAAACCGTACGAAGACATAA